CCGGGGGGGGGGGCTGCACTGCACTCAGCCTATGAAAATGGCAGCCAGCCCTGGGATTTGCCCACAAAATTGGCCAGCTGCCTCCTTGACTTAGGTAGACCCCTACTTATACCTAACTTGGATGAAGTTACAGAGCAGTCAACAGATGCCAAGGAGGATTGAGAACTCTTGAACTGAAGTAAGGATGTCCACACAAAAGTAGGTTGTATCAGTTTACCCAGGTTGATTTCTAAACCAGTCTAAGGCTTGCCTTCATGTAGAAACTGCTTGTAGAGCTATAATGGTATATTTATACTTCTCTCACTATACTGGTATGCCTCCCTGCATAGAAACTATGGTGGAACAAAATGGCTGTTTTGGTACAGCTTTAGTCACAAACCTGTCAGTTACACTGGCAAAGTTCTAGCGGTATAATTATGCCACTATAATGCGGTGAGCCACTTTCCCCATGGAGGTAAGCTCTAAGGTCCATCAGTGTAGCTTGTGCATGCAGACACGACCAAAGAAACAGGGGAAAAATTATGAGTGGGACAAGGGAGTACTGAGAATCTGATCCTCATCAACAAGATCATTGCTGTGCAGCAGCCAAGTTAATTGTGTTTAGTAGCAGGCTGAGGGACCCAATAGTTAAATGCCTTATTGAAATAATGAGGTTCAGTCTTAAGCCTGCATCTTTTCTGTTCAAGCCCCATGATCCTCTTACCCTGCACTCCTAAGAATTTGGGCTTGTCTACATTAATGCAAACTCCTAACATAGACATGCTGCCCTCATGAGGTATAGTTACTGGTATGGTGCATTTATACACACCATTATACTGGTGTGATGCAAAAGGCACAGTAAGCTCATTCAGCACCTGAAGTTGAAGGAGGGAGGATGCTGACAACTGTAGACCTGGGGGTGAGAAGAACGGAAGGAGAGGGAAGTCTTACCTGCCCAGGCTCTATGCACACTGAAGGCTGCTGCTGCTGCTGGAGAAGTGTTGCCTCCGGCACCAGCAGCCTCATGGTGTGTGCTCCCTGGGAACCATGTCTGGTACCCAATTTGGTCCCTTCCCCACCCCAGATATGCTGTTGGGTCTGGGTCTTCCATGAGAAAAATTCTCTGGTGGTGGGAATGGGAAGTACCATTCTGCTTTCCCCACTTGTCCCCCTGTTCCTAAGATACAGTGCTTGGTGTGGTAGGGCTGCCGGGCAGCACAGGGCTCTCCTTGCAGTGACAAAGACCCCTCAGGGGGGACCGTATTCTGGTAGTTCGCATCCAGGATTAATGCCCCCCTCACCCTCCTTCTCTTCCCCCCCCTGCCAGTTATGCTACTGGGTCTGCACTAATCCTAAAAAACAGATGTAGAAGACATTAGGGGATGGATGCACAAAGGGGTTGAGACTTATCACTGCTTACTGCGATAGATTATCTTACCCTTATTTGCATCTATAGGTAGGTTTCACTCCTGCTTGAACATCACCAAAGCAAAATTGTACCACCTGCTACAAAAAGACCTGAAATACAAAGCAGCATGTATTCATCGTATTACTCCATTCATTTGAAAAGATATTCCCTTGGGAATGTGGCTGTGAGCTTGGAATAACAGTAAGACATTCTTCTAATTATTCATAAAATTGAGATGTTTGCTACTGTCCTAAACATTGGAGTAGAAGTAGCATTGATGTCATCAGCTAAACAGTCTGGGATGCCTGTGGTTTGGATTGTGTGAGTTTTCTTTTAATCTTGGCGTAGCAGAAACAGTTCATGTTAATAACCATGCACTTAATTCTCACTGACTCTCCATCTTAAAATAATAAATCATTTTTTTTTAAAATAGCAGCACAACCAAGTAGAACAGAGGACAAAAGAATGACCTCTTTTGCCATGTGTGCAAGTCTCTCTACAGATTTAGGTTGAAAGAGTTTATAAAAATTCCACAGGTTTTATGGGCATTTCCCATCAGTTTTTATTGCCCCAAGTCACAGAATGAGAGATGTTTGAGGTAGTAAAAAAAACCAAACGAAAAACAAAAAAACAGGCTTCACCCAGCACTCTGGATGAAGTGTTTTATCCAATATGAGTTTAAATGTCACAAGCAGCAGGCTTCCAGCTCTTCCTTGAGACACCATGACAAGAAATAGTCCCTTCTGAAGGAAGATAAGATGTTTTCCTCCTGATATTCAGTCTTTTTCTGAAAATGTTCCTCTCCTTAATTTCACCCCATCACTCCCATTTTCCCACTCTGGATAATCGTTTTCTCTCCCTGGTGTTTATACGCTTCATATGTTTGCCATAGAATTATTGCACCTTTCCCCTTGTACTTACCGAGTGTTTAGCCAAGCTGTAAGTATGTGTATATCATGATTTAAGTCAACTCCTCCAGTCCTGTACTCAGATATGTTGCTCTTTTCTAAAATCTTTCCAGTTTTTCATTTATCACCATTTGGTGCACTCATCTCCAGAAACAAATGCAGTTACAAGAAAAATTTGAAGTACAAATAAAATCTGAAATGGTGGCCATACAACTGTGGTCACAGATGCATGGAACTTTTTCCTTCCATCCTTCTTGTCCTTCCATCCCAAATTAGGATTTCTGAAATTCCAAAATGCTGGGGGAAAAAATGTTCAGTTTTGCACAAAAAAATTAGCTAAAATGTAGTGGAAGTCTCTTCTGCATTCTACAGTGTCTCATTCTATCATAACAAATAATGTTAAGAATCCAAATGTTTAATTTTGAAACTCAAAATCACACTTGCAGGCTCCCAGCTATGGATCTGGTTGCCCCAGCTATAACCAAAGCTCTCTTCTCGGTTCCACAGCCAACAGCCTGGGAGTCTCCAAAGTTTCCAGACTCCTAGCTCTGTGGACTAAGCTTGAGAGATCACCCGACCAATCCAGTGAAGCTTTTATTTATATATATACTGTAGTTCTGAGAACCTAGACCCTATCAGCCCTGGCTAGAGCTGTCGTCCAGGCTCTGCTCTAGTGTCTGGGGTTCCAGGACTTCTATGTTCCAGTTCCATGGCAGGGAGCCTCAATGCACTGGCATCCCTCTGCCTGGAAGAGTTGTTCTTTTGCCACAGTCCATGAAAGCCCAAGCCTTAATGCAGCCTGCATAGTAGTAGTCCCAGAGCCAAGGCTCCACAGTAACTCTCCAGACAAGCTAGCAGAAAGCCAGGTAGGTTTTGTACAGGGCTCTGCTGTGTTTTCTCAGAAATTAGTTTAGAACGATAACATTTCTGCAAAACATTTCAGCTTTGAATCTTTTTTTCCCAATGAGTATCCACAGTGTCAGTAGGTTCCTTAACAAGTTTTTGTTTTTTCCTCACCTTCACACAGCCGGGTATGTCTGATTCATTTGGCTATTGGCAATGTGCAAAGGGTCACCAAGAAATCAACTGAAAGGAAGAACTGCTTTCCAAATCTGATAGAGAGCCTCTGCAGAAGTTCTTATCATCATCTTCTGAATGTGGATTTGGGCAGATCAGATTATCTCTTCATCTATTTTTGGTGCTTTAGCATCATAGCACCTTCCAGAGATTTTTCAGTGATATCTCTTTCTTGTTTCCCTTCCCTTATCCTCTGTTTACCTGTCTATCTTTACACTGTTAGTGCCTTAAGTCAGGGACCACCCTTTCTTGAATGTTGGATTACACACCATATAGAGGGGAAGTACCATAAAAATAATGAGGTGTATATAACTAATCTAATAGCAGTTCTAAAGCAAGCTTGTGTTTAGATGTTATAAAATAGGCACAGTACAAAATAATTGTATTAGTACAAAGACACTTTTTATAGATCAGGCCTAAATAATCCAGCCCAGAGATGATGAAGGAACTAAGAATCTGTGTTACCACAATCCACAGACTTTGGAATCCACATAGGTGGTATATAAGTGGAAAAATACTCAGTTTCTCTACCAGGAAGGTTACCCACACTCTCCCAAACTAGTTAGGCTTTTCTTGGCTAAAAACAAATACAGTCTTTTGCGGGAAGAGAAGAAAATGGACGTCTGAAGAGTAGTAACAGGAGCCAAGGAGTGAAAAAAAATACAGATTTGTATTTCCTTTTTTGCATTTCCCTGTATCTGACCGTATTAACATATTATAAATTTCATAAACCATAGGTTGTAAGGGAATAGATTAAGCTAAAGCCTACCAATAGCAAGTAACAGTCTAACCCAATAAGACAATACTGTCAAACTATAAGTTTTATTATAGATAAGACCAAGGGCAGCTGGCAATAATTAAAAAATAGAAAAGGATGGAGAGAACCATAACAGCATGTATTCTGCAATAATCACTAGACAGAAACAGTAAACTTTTTGAGACCTCCTTTTCTAAGATCTCTTCACTTTTTATTTGAAAGCTTTTATTTGAAACTTTCAAATAAAAAAATACCTCAATCTCAAGGTGATTTACAAAAGACAAAGAATAATTATGATACTCTTTGTTCTTTTTCTTCCTTATGATGTCCTGAAAAGCAGAGGTGCAGGGTGGGGAGAAGAGATTTAAAATATTTGCATCCTTTAATCAGGAGTTTCAAGTCTGATCTTTCCTGTCTTTGTGAAAGGACTCTTTGGAGATCTTGGATATGGATGGTGAACTATATCAGTCTTATTTCAAGTTTACTTATAGTATTGTATCAGGCTGCTAGAAAAGAAGGGGAGGGAGATGTCAAATCTTTTAACAGTAACTTATTTTCTCCCAAACATTTCTCAGACATTTAAATTGTTAAATATTAGACATGAAATAGCAGAGAATTGTGAACAGTCTGAATAAAACTTATTCCTTGCCTCAGTTAATCAGGCTTTATTTTTCTAGGTATGTAATGCCAGATTCCAGTTCTTTATTCACTGATGGAATTTTTCAGACGAAACGACGTAGACAAACTTGAATTTCTCTTCTTTTTTTCTTTTTTTTTTTTAAGAAGGAAAAGGAATGGGAGAGCCAGAGAATCTTTTAGGTCTTTTTATTCTAAACTTTTTTATCTATCATAATTTACTGGTAATCTTTCAGATGGAAATATAAAAGCTCATCAAGTAACAGAGGCCACGTCTACCCATCTCCCTATAGAGACACAGTGACATGCTATGTTGCTGTACAGTGTGCCATGGTGACATGACGATCACACAGGTCTACACATGATCTCTAGCTATGTTGCCGTGGCAGCGTGCGACCCGCTTATAGTGCACCACTACAGCAGTGTAGCGGGGAAATTTAAGTGTGAGCCTCCTGTACAGCATGGTATGGGCAGTTACTGCATCATGTCTTAGTACTTCCAAGGAAGTACTACAGCCCAGCATAGTAACAGCATCCCCATATAGTGACATACAGGTGACCCTCGCCATTCGTGGGGGATACGTTCTTGTATCCCCCACGAATGGCGAAATCTGTGAATAAGGCACTGCGTTCATGAATGCCATCTGCGTTCATGAACGCAGTGCCCCCGGCAGCTGTGCGGGGAGGCACGGCTCCACCGGCGGCAGCAGGAGCCTGGTGGCAGCAAGCATGGAGTTCCTGAGGAGCTCCTGTAAGTGTATAAAGTGTATTTAAAATGTGGGTTTGGCATTCGCGAATATTTGAAACCGCAAATGCCAAGCCCGTGAATAGCGAGGGTTTTCTGTATAGACATGCCCAGAGCTAAGTAGATTTCAGTTCCTCCAGATGCAGCTTACACATGAGAGCCAGTACTTCCTTGGAAGTACTAAGACATGGTGCAGTAACTGCCCATACCATGCTGTACAGGAGGCGCACACTTAAATTTCCCCACTACATTTACTACATTTGACGTAGTAAACTGTAAGCATTTTTATTAACTTTTAATGCTGTGCATTTCATTGTGGTTCTTCTGTCTTGATGGGTTCTTAAATTGTGCTGCCACAAGGGCATAGACCAAAGTATCATGGCTTGTGCCCAGAAAGCTATTTGTGGCCACCAGCAAGAATACAGAGGCGCTGTTTCTATTATCAGATCTTTGCTCTCTAAAAACATAATTTTAGATACTGTGTGCAAAGACTTTTCCTGGAACGGTCACTTGTATATTCTCATGTAGGCTTAGAAAAACTGCAGATGATCTGTAAGGTCCCTTCCAGCCCCTAACATCTATGAAACTATGAAACGGTGGGAAGCTGTTCTAAAAACAAGAACATGTATTCAGTGGTGAGGTAGAGAGGCAGGGTATTGTAACTTGGAGCTTGCTCTGAATTATGATGATGACTGATGTTTCCAATTCCCAAGAAAGCCATAAAACCTGAATTCTCTGCGTTCAAAGAATGACATGGAGAAGATGCCAGTCACTCAGCTTTCCCTCTGGCTTAACTATGCAAAAGAATTTGCTTCTGGGCCTGCACAGTTAAAGGGAAACACCATTATGGAAACTGCTTAGTGACTTTGTAGGTCTAGAGATTATGCCACCTTACTTTCTCCTGTTTGCAAAGTCCATGCTGAAATATGTTTACTGAAAAAAATAACTTCAGTATCAGTTCCCCAACACTCATAAGCAGCTCTTCACCAACAAGCCAGTGAGGAAGTCCAACTGGTAACATATCTTTTTCAGGGTTTTTAGGAGTGATTATATAA